CCGGCTTTGGCTAAGAGAAAATTGGAGCTAATTAGGAGTTTTTTTTTTTAACTTAGAAAATTTCTACGACAAGCTTCAAAAATAGGCGAAAGTCAAAAAATGACTTAGAACCCCCCATCCATCCTCTTTTACCCCACTCCGGCAAGACTTACTGCAGCAGAGTCACCATCTCCGCTGCTGCTGTGCCCTATTTCCATCCATTCGAAAAATCTCAGAAAAAACTGACTATGGTCTACCCACCCACAGTCCAAACCTGGAAACAGAAGATCCTAACTGAAACCTCCCACTGTTTACACCTCCCCTTCAACAAACGAAAAGACGTTAGGTCCAAGTGTTTAGTCCTCGTACCAGAACTCGACTGATCTCATACCCCCCTATGCTAGGGTTACAGAGCAGCACAAACTTCCCCAGTACCGACCAGCCTGATTCAGACGGCAAGGAGTGCCTTCCTCCCTCAACACTCCCGATTAGCCATACGCCCCTAAGTTACAGGGTAAAAACCCAGGCATCAGCGACGTCGGACAACCTAGTTATGCCTTCCTCCCTCGACATAACTCCCCATACCTCTTGCTCCCCCAGGTTACAGAGCAAAAGCTCCAGCACTGGCCTGCGTCGTCCCAACATTGTCCTTCTGACCTACTGACTTAGACAAACGTCCCTTCCCCTGTTGAACCCCCTTTACTACCTCCCATCTTCCAGTTCTAACCTTCCCCCCTGCCGGTTTGATATGATTTGAAAATCCAAAATAGGGTATAAAAATAGGGAATCAATTTTGATGTCCGGACGAACTTACGACTCTGATTTCCAGAATCCAAGGTTCAAGAAATCGCTCAGACAGTAAATCAGGAGTAATCAATTTTGTACGAGAGAAACCATAACGATTCTAAAAGCAGATCGCGAAATCAAAAAAAAAATTTACAAACTAGTACCAATTAAGATCAACAAAATTAGGTCATGCCTCAATCTTGATTATCAAATCTCAGAAGCAGAATTATTATTTATAGTTTCGTTGCATACCTAAAAATTCAAGGATAAAAAAACTAATAGGTATTAAACAAGACCAAACTATCTAGGAGTCACATTGTTAAGAATCTCACTAGGGTCATCGCAGGATCACCACTACAAAACGGGGAGAGGAAAAACAAAACTTACCCTCGACATCCCTAAACGCACCCCCCCTCTCTCCAAACCTCACCTGCTCCTTCATCGGTTGTCAAGCAACTCGGCCTCCTGTGGTTGACGACCATTCAACCATCCCAAGAACCGAACGATGAAGATAACAGGACCGCAGCTAGGATTACCATCACAGCAAACCAAACCACTTGACGAGACTAAACCTCTGAGCCCGTCAGCCGCCCCTCGCACGTAGCCCAAAGAGATGAAGGGGTGTCCCGCCTCATCATCCTGCTGTCCTATCACCCCGTACTCTCATCCTCGCGTCATGCCATCATAGCGCCCACCGCTCTTCGTTTCCAAATCTCGCCAAGGAGCTCGCCGTCGCATCAAACCGTTGGGCGGCGGAGCGCTCCCGATCCTCTCTATGTATGGGCGGGTGGGATACATTGGGATGGGCCGGTGGGATAGGGTCAGGGACAACGTCGGGAAGGTCGGGAGGGTCGGAAGGTCAGGACGGTTGAAAGGATTGGGAAGGTCAGGCAGGAGGGTCGGGATGGTGGGGCAGGGGGCAAGGGCGAGAGGGTTGGTCGGGAGGCGAATGTTGGGCGGGGCAAGGGCTAGAGGGTCGAGCGGGTGGGTCAGGTGGGAGGGTCAGGATGAGCGGGTAGGATAGGGTCGGGGGATAGGCGGGATGAGCGGGTAGGATAGGGTCGAGCGGGAGGGTCAGGGGAAAGGTCGCGACGGGGGAAACGTCGGGATGGGCGGGTGGGGAGAAGGTCTGGCAGGAGGGTCAGGAGGGTCGGGATGGTTGGGTGGGGCCAACTTGAAGGGCGGGAGGGTCGAGCGGGAGGGGAATGTCAGGCGGGGGCAAGGGTAGGAGGGTTGGGCAAGGTAGAGCGGGAGGGTCGAGGAACAGGAGGGGAAGGGGAATAAAAAGAAGAGGTGAGGAAGAGGAAGAATGAAAAGAGGAGGGGACGAAGAAGAAGACGATGAATAAGAGAACGAAGAAGAAGAAGAAGAAGAAGAAGGAGAAGAAGAAGAGGTGAGGAAGAAAAAGAAGGACGAAAAGAGAAGGTGAGGAAAAATAAAAGAATGAAGAAGAGGGCGAGGAAGAAGAAGAAGAAGAAGAGGTGAGGATGAAAAAGAGGATGGAAAGAGGAGGGGAGGAAAAAAAAACGACGAAGAAGAAAAGGTGAGGATGAAAAAGAGGACGAAAAGTGGAGCGGAGGAAGAAGACGAGGACGAAGAACAAGAAGAAGTCTGCTTCCCGTCCCCGAACCTTCGCACCCCCTAAAATTTTATTTTTTTGTCTTTTGACCGTTTTTTTACTTGCCCGGGTCACCTGCGTGACCGGCCACACAGCCACGGACCCGGGCCCGTGTGGGTCTGATAGCCCAGTACAAATATATATCTTATCGTAAAAAAACACTGCCCGGTAAATTGTAGCCAGAGGAGAAGAGGACAACAAATGAGGGTTTGTGTGTATACGTATGGGGCCTTCTTGTATACAATTAAGCATATTTTACGTACATAATCCCGTACGTTCTGTACGTAAAAGGCATGGGGGGTGGGTGGGGGAACAAACAAAAAAAAGAAAACAAAACAAGTTATGTAACATAGGCAGACGAGCAATATTTGTCTCAGCATCAAACCTTAAATTCTTATGAAAATACGAGAACAAAATGCAAACATGAAAATGGTAATTAAAAAATAAATTAAAAACTAACTACAACAGCAGTATGCATTTGTGTGTGTGTGTGTGTGTGTGTGTGTGTGTGTGTGTGTGTGTGTGTGTGTGATCGAAAGGAATACATACACACTGACACATGACATAAACAAAACACACGCACCCACACATTTCTGTGCTTTTTTGTTCTCTTTAATTATCCAAGGGATATATCCAATGAATATAGCCGTTTAAAAATGGTGGGCAGGGTTGTTCGAATCCACACACCCTGTACATACACGAAATTGGCCTCGAAACTTCGTTTCTTCGGCTGATTTTATAGGTATACAGGGTGCATAGACATGAACCAACACCTCGACAAAAAAAAAAGCAGTACGGCCCCCCTTCCATACAAGTCGTGTACGTGTATGGGTGCTGTGCGGATCGCTACACAGCGAGGGGCTTTGACTGACTAATTCATCGACGCTATGGAGCTGGAATTAATGCGACTGCCCACACATGCGTAGCATCATGTTCACGTTCGGAGGCGAATACGAACACAAAAATCTTCTCCCTATCGCGAACGAGCACTCAAAACCCTTCACACGTGAACATTAAAAAAAATAATAATGAACAAGCAAAAAACAGTCTCAGAAAAATCTGAAAAACAAAAGTCTTGTAAAACAACAATACAAGCGACTTCTGCCTTGTACTCATGTTCAAATTATGAGCCAAACGTGAGTTAAAAACCAGAGCCCCAAAAAAGGAAATTTTTCTTCATTTTTTGTTTTCTTTGGGAAAAACTTATGTTCGCCCGAATGCGTTTGCGAGCTGTTCGGACGAACGCAGAAGGGGCGCGCACACATTCGCTGTGGTACGCAGGTTCACACTAGTCTTCCTCCCTAATGGATCCTTGCTCAAAAAGTTTATGGTTGTTTTCGTTCCAATTATCAAACTCGGTTTATGGTTGTTTTCATTCGCATTAGCAAAAACTTGGACGAGCCCAGTATTGTCATTTATTACCAGTACATCCCAATGTTAGGATTTATTTATTTACGTCCGCTTTGCCTTGATGCAATGTGGTAGCCATCTATCTAGCTCCATCTCGGGAACCAGACCTTAATTCTTCGTCATCCTTTTCCACCACCGTCGCCTTTATCCTACCATCGAAAGTCGATGGGATACAATTTTGAATGGAACATCACCTGTTGGAAGGTCATGCGATTAAAAATGTCATAAGGATTTACCTCGACGGCGTTTAAACCACCAGTGCCTTGCGAAGCACTCCTCCGGACCGCTCTTTGTTTCGGTAGGAGGCAGCTGGTTTTAGTTTGATTGCTTATCATCAACATACAGAAACATAACAATACAAGAACAACGATTCCATAAGAAAATAGACATTTTATTTTCTGAATGAAATTGACATGACATCTCCTTTTTAACCCAAAATTCATGAAATTGAGTGGACAGCGTTATGAAAATGCCCAACCTCTTCGATGTATCGCTCAAGTCCACATACATCTATGCCAAAAAACGCCGGACCTCTTGGATGTATGTGAACTTCAACTAAGTTCAGATACATTGAGGCCGTATGGCGCTTTTATAATGCCGTATCCTCAATTTCATTAATTTACAGCCAAAAAATGAGATTTCAATTTCGTTCAAAAAATAAAACATGTCCATTTTAACGAAATTGTTGTTCCGAGGAGCATTCTGGTCGTAATGAGTTTGAATAGGGAGTGAGAGACCAGTGGACTCCCCAGTTCTTGCTTATCAGTACTCTAACAAACCCAACGTACAACATTATCAGTTCTTGCTTATGTTTAGTCCTTCATCATAAAGGGTTACCAAAAGGTAGACTACGTGGAGCGTACACGGATGGATGGATGGACTATATATATCGTCAAATAGAACTGCCCGGTAAACCGTAGGCAGAGAGGGAGAAGAGGACAACAAACGAGGGGCTGTGAGAAACTGTTTCGTCGGAGTTTCACCGACTAATCAGGAGGCTGAATATATATACAGAGAGAGATGAGAG